GGGGGGGGGTTGTGGTGTTGGAGTGAATAAGGGCCGGAGAGGAGGGAGAAAGTTGGGCTGGGTGAACGGAAGGGGCGGGAAAGGAGTTGGGATACAAATAGAAAGAGAGAGATGGCCTAGGAACAGAGGCAGACTAGGCTACTTTGTCTCTGCCTCTATCACGCGCACGTGCGTCCCCGTCGCGAAAGACTGCGCAGGTCGGCGGGCTGGTGGGCGGGTCGTGTGGATGTGACTGGACTACGTCAATATAATTGCACGGTGCCTGCGGGGTGCGGTGCCTTGCAGAAGGGAAGGAAATGCAGTCTCGTCTGATGTCTTGGCTGTCGCTCTCGCTCGCTCGGTCCGTCTTTAAGGGGTCGCTCCGGGTCGTTTTCCCAGATTCATTTACAGCGCTCATACTGTACGGGTCAGGGAAAAGTGAGGGAGAAAAAAAAGTTGTCTGGACATCAGGGAAAAGTTAGGAAAATTTAATTTGGGGTCAGGGAATTCTTTTCAGTAGGGGAAAATCGGGGAAAATGTTGGCCATGGCCCTGGTAGTTCCACCAGAGAAAGCTTGAAGATTAAGAATTAAAAAAATTCTCGCTCGCTGCGCTTGTGAGAATATAGGCCATCTTGGACGATTCTTCTACCAATATCATTCTGATCTTCATTATTATTGACATTTTGTAGTAATAACGAATTTATTTTTGCGTTGTGTTTTTACTGTATTTATACTCACTGACCTCCTATGGCACTCAAAAGTCAGGGAAAATCAGGGCATTTTGGTCTGGCAGTCAGGGAAAAGTAAGGGAAAATGGAAATTTGGATGTGGTATGACGCTGATTTAGCAAATGAAACGGAAGCTCGGGCGCCTGCGAAACTTCGGGTAGGCCACTCCGCAGTACACGCATGCATGGCCGAGAAGATGTTGCCTACCCATCAGGCGCTATGACAGCCTGCAGACGCTCATCTTGGCAAGTTATTCTCTAGATGATCCCTAATTCTTGGCACTTACTGAACTGAACTCGGGAATTGCGCCGGTCTATGTTTGGTTTAGTCGTTTACCACGATTAGGCGTCCGTCTTTACAGAAGGAGACCTATCCGGCACCCTAGCATCCAGAAATTACGTACTTAGTATGAAATAGACGAGCACCATTTCGGTGTATAGCAAGGTTTCTTGTTATGTCAATAATAGCACAGCTAGCCGTGCCATACTGCTGGACGACAGCACCACATTTATCTGGTTGATATCCATCTATCTTTGGTTTTGTAGTGATTTTGTGGGCGGCGCGGTGACAGGAAACGAAGTTCGGCGTCGGTGGCGGTGCGCTCCTTGATCGCGTCAGAGCGCGCACCGGGCCGCGCGCACCGGGCCGCACACCGGGCCGCGCACTGGGCCGCACACCCTCTCGAAGTGATAATTAATTGTGGGAGTTTGGGGGAATGCCGCTTAACGGCTCAGTGGCGGCCGCCCCCTTTACCCCTTAGCCGGCGGCACCCTAGGCTTCTCGCAAGGCCCGCCCTACCTCGCCTCGCCACGCCATGCCACGCCACGCCCCACCTCACCCCACGCCACCCCTGCTGACGAAGGGAAGGAGGTAATGAGCAGGGCCCTGCTGCGAGGCGGCCTGGACGCCGACACGTCCGACACCTCCTTAACTACGCACGACTTATGAATTAATTATACCGAAATGCGACTTGCGGAATTAATTATTACACTGCCGCAAGAAGTGTGGTGAAGGGACGGAGAAGGAAAAATTACGCCCCCCCCCCCATCAGCTGCTGAATAAATTTGCTGTGCTTCTTGTTTTCCTTTTCGCACCCCGCACTCTCACGTTTTCCCTTATTCATTCATCAAGAGGCTTGATTTTGATAGTCATGGTCTTTCTGTTCGCAGGTGAATTTCAACCCTCCCCCGCCTGGAGGACGCGGGTGACTTAGCCTCTGCCGATGATTAACTATTCCCGCCGGCAAGGTTGCGTGCGGTGCAGAGCTGCTTCGGCGGCTCCGCCTGGCTTCGCCTGGCTCTGGGCGGACAGGGCGCCTGGCGCCGGCGGATTAGGAGGTGGCAGCAGAGTTCAGCAACTTCCCTCCTACTGGACGTACCACCCGGCGAGGGCTAACGGAAAGCTCTATGAACAAACGACGGTAACTAAATTAAACTCAATAATGATTGTTTTCGTGCTGTTTTACAATTTAAATCGGGGGGAGTTACTAACGAGTATCTCTGCGCAATCGCAGAGGAAACAGCTCGATTAGAGAAGGAAAAGAGTTGTTGCTGTTAGGGCCGCCTCCGCTCTCCCCCCTCCCCTCTCTCTCTTTACTGCTGCTCCATCTCAAGCGCGGCTGCGACATTTGGTTTATAAGCTGGTAAGCAAACGCAGCCCTGGCCGTACAAGAATAGACTCCTATAAGTGGATCGAAACCACATCACTCGTCCCTCCGGCCCGGCGGCGGCGGGGCTGGGCTGGGCCCGCAGCACACCCGCTCACCCTCGTCCACAACTGTTCTCGCATGCCGTTTCAAATTCACCGATTCTAGTTTCCTTTTTATTTTGTTGCTCAAACCGAAAGCGTCCATTTGTTACCGCGACCACTTTACAATGAAATACGAAGAATATCGGAAATCGTTATAAAATGAAAGTCCGTTTCAAATGGCAATTCTTGTCATTGTCACCATATGGTTTACGTTAAAAGAGATCGATCAAGTCTGTCATTTTTGTAGCCCGTGCCCGTAGAATGAGAAACATTGCAAGTGCTGTTTTAAATGTGGCCATCAAGAGCATCTTGACTCGTACAATATTCCTTATTAAGGTATATTTTACAGTGGCAATGAAGCCAAGTCAGAGGCGAAGCACGTCTTCCACGACCGGATTAAGCCTGGCACGGGACCAACCCAACCCCAACCCCTCACACCCCCCGACCCTTCTCCAGGATCCGAAGCTATTTGCTAATTACCCGATCAGCTGTCGCCTTGACTGCCCCCGCTCCCTCTCCGCTCTGTGGCGGCGACGGCCTCGTGCCCTCCACCCCCCTGCGGAGTGACGACGACCTGTTCGTCCCCCGTATTCCTGACCACGTCACGGTGCTGTCGGTCCATGACCGTGACGAACTCTTTTTGCGGCTTTTGCGAGACCGACTGTCGGTCGGTGGGTAGGCAACTCGCCTTTCTCTAACTGCCTGCCCCTGCGGATCGCATATCCGATACTTCCTGTTGTTCGGCAGTCGCACTGCATTTTGGGGAGACAACGTGACTAAGTCTGCGGTACTGGAAAAAAACATCATTGTGAGAAAAACTTGTCAGGGGTTGCAAACATTTCCCATGATGTGTGTTGTAAAATTACAATTTCAAATTGTAAAATTACAAGCTTCTCTGTATCGACTTGGAATTTATTGACGAGTAAGAATGGGTTGTCGTAAATATACGGCATATGTTGTAAATCCAAAATACAAAGTTGTATGCGCATTACTCCACTGACCGAAGAGTTATATTCTGTCTGTCTGTCTGTGTGTCTGTCTGTCTATGCACGATAACTCGAGAAGGAATGAGGCCTGAGCGGCGGGGCTGCTTCTCGCTCCGGCCGCTAGGGGGCAGCACGCTCCCGGTCCACTATGAGAAATCGCGCACTCGTATGGCCGCCTGTGGCGTCTGTGTTGACGTCGGCGTCGGCTGCTTCTTTGAATTTCGCCAGTCGTCGTTCGTCGGTTAGTTACGTCGCGTCTTTGTCCTGTGAAACTAATCAGAAAAATGGGAAGAATTTGTCTTGTAAAAGAATGCAAGTCCACCGTGGACTTCCAGCTGCCGTCGCAGCCGGCGCTGAGGGAGAGGTGGTTGGCGGCGATTGATTTACCTGCCGGTTTCCAATGTCCAAAGAAGTCGGGGTTATGCAGCAATCATTTCACCTGCGAAGATTTCGTTACTGAAAATCTACATAGCGGTAAGGATCACGTCGACGTCGATGTCATCTTCGACCGCCTGTGAAACTCTTTCTGCGCCAATAAGATAGAAACTCTTTATACATAACCTGCACAAGTCTTGTATGTTTTTGTCATTTTTTTTCACACAGGTACTACAGTCAAACGACGCCAGTTGAAGAGGAATGCTGTCCCGTCCATGTACCTTCCAAATGAAAAGGATCCTCTCGAGTGCACTCCTCAAAAGCGACCAAGGCTCCACGAAGATGACACGCTTGACATGAGTGTTAGTCCTGAGGCAAGCGCTCTGGTTCGAGAGGAGTCAGACCTTGGTGTGGAGCAGCTGCCCTCCCCTCCCTCACCAAGGCAGGCTGCTACTACATCCAGTGATTTTGTTGCCAAGACGTGCCATTGCAGTGGCGAGAAAGTTGACCAAGTTGACCAGAGTGTTGGACCCGATACCAAGTTTAGCTACAATGTGGCAACTCAAACCCCGCCCAGCAGACTTTCCCCATATAGTATTACTGACTTTCAGTGCAAGCCTGAAGAACTACGTGACCTTACAGGAATAGAGTCCTATGATAAGTTTTTGCTTATTTTTAACTCCCTTGGACCAAATATTGTTAGTGAGTTAAAGTACCGTAAATTCAATGTTAAAAATCTATCCTTAGAGGACCAATTTTTCTTGACTCTTTGGAAATTGAGGAAAGCTACTTCAGATACAGAGTTAGGAATGCATTTTGGTATCCATCATACAACAGCATCTAATATATTTATCTCATGGGTAACCTTTATGGCCAACCAGTGGGGCAAATTAGACCTTTGGCCCTCTAGGGACCTTATTGACTATTATATGCCTGAGGGCTTTAAGAGAACTTATCCAAGTACTAGAGTTATTGTAGATGCAACTGAAATTCCCATAGAGAAACCCACTAATCCAACTGCTCAACAAGCAACCTTTAGTACTTATAAAAATGGAAATACCTTGAAGGTTTTAGTTGGTGCAAGCCCTTCTGGTTTGATTTCTTTTGCTTCTGAGGCATATGGTGGATCCACAAGTGACAGGCAAATAGTTGAAAGAAGTGTGCTTCCAGAGTTGTGTTCTAGAGGTGATTCTGTTATGGCTGACCGTGGAATAAATGTGCAAGATATATTTGCCCCTAAAGGAGTGGCGGTTAATATTCCTGCTTTCCTAAGGGGTAAGGATCATCTCACTGGTGCTGTTATAATGAATGATAGGAAGCTAGCTAGTAAACGAGTTCATATTGAGAGATTGATTGGTCTGATTAAAATTTATCACATTTTGAAAACCAAGTTAAATCACCATTATGTGTCCCACGGGTCAAATATCTTTTTTGTTTGTTTTATGCTAAGTAACTTTAGAGAAAACATTGTTAGCCAAAAAGCCTAAATGACATGCATTTTCTTTTGCCAAATGTTTTTATATTAAAGAAAAATAAAACAATGTATGAACTTGATATGCATCTTTGGTTGTTATTGAAATGTTCCTCAAACAGTGTTTTATGCGAAGTAACTTTAGAGAAAACATTGTCAGCCAAAAAGCCTGAATGACAGCAAGATGACAAGTATTTTCTTATGCCAGATGTTTTTATAATGAAGAAAAGTAAAACAATGTATGAACTTGATATGCATCTTTGGTTGTTATTGAAGTGTTCCTCCAACAGCAAGACAGTAGTAGGTGAGAAATGTGATAATGCATGAGATAAGTTCAATTTTTTATTGATTCCTGACTAAACTTCCACACTAACATAATAGCATTTGAAAAATAAAACTTCTCAACTTAAGAAATACTGTGACATGCTACATAATTCATAATAGTAATATAAAATATAATCAAGTATTAAAATCAGTCTTATATAGGAAAGGGACATTTTCCTAAATGTAAAAATGGTAACAATATAGTTATGTAAAGCAAAACAGCCAGCCAAGCAGATTACTTGCCAAATGAATACTTGTGGTAATCCCTCCACAAATATTTATTCTCAATGGCTGGGCGGTAATAATCTTCATAAAACTTGACAAGATTTAAAAGCATAGAGCTGATAAAATTCTCTTTTCTGTCAATACGAATCACTTTAAAATCTTTGAATGTGTACACAACAAAATCACAGAATGATTTGTCTGTCACAAGCATGTGTCCTTGAACTTGATAGTAAAAACGATGAGTCTTCTTCAGCTTTAGTAAACTTGGATTTTTCTTGGACTTGACAAGGAAGTCCTGGTTTTGAGGCCCAATAGGCAGGTTTCTGTGAGTATACGGACATTTCACTTCACCAAGACCATCTGCTCCAACCAGGAAGTCTGGAGAGGCACCCAGAAATGGGTGAGATTCCATTATTACCAATCCAGAACACTTTACGTCAACACCAGGA